GAAACACCAACTCCACCTTCTTCACCATCGCCACCGCCCTCAACCCGGTGCTCGCTGGAATCACCGTCGGCACCCATATCCCTTACACGCAGATCGATCAGCAAAATCAACCTCGAAAAAGAAAACCAACACTGACCCTATCCCAGAAGAAACATGGAAAACCCCGAACGATAACGAAAACCACAGATTAAAACGCGAGAAAAAAAAAATACTGTTAACACAAAATCAAATTGAAGTATTTACTGTACAAAATGGGAGAGAATTGAATGAATTGAGAAAGGTAGGTGGAGAATTGGAGAAGCAGTAATGAAAAAATCGCGTCAGATGAATGTGTGATTTGAGCGATTCATGAAATGAAATGAAAATTGATATTTCGTTCTTAAATCGGGCCTGGATTTGCTCCTTCTAGTCCGCCATGATAGGGTTTCCATCCTTCCGTGGGCCTTATTTTGGATTTTTCCAGATGTTCTTGGGCTGGAACAATCTGGAAGAAGAACATGACCAGGCCTCCTTTTTTTCTTATTTTTTTCCCTTTTTTTTTATATTTATTTGACTGAAAAATAAAGCACCAACCATCCCACAAAATCTAGTTGACGTATTATTTTACGTTTTTACCCTTATACCTAACTCGACAATCGACCCTTCGTCTTATGAAATTCGTAATTATCTCGCTTCATCTAACTTTCTTCGACAATCCATTACGACTTCGAGCGACGAGAATAAGTACTTTTTGTGGTGGCTTTGGAGTCAGAATTGTCATCTCGAATGTGTAATGGATCTATTCTCGGGATGGAAGTCACTAGCTGGAGATGAGAACCTACAGAGGGTGAGACATTTGAAATCGTGAGCTACAAACAACGGTTGAAATAGAGGATGGGCGTGGATTCAAATATTTTCACTGATATTGCCACGTATTTTCATGTTACGAAGTATTTGAATGGCTCGATGTTTAGCTTTTGAGTTTGGGCATTAAATTTTCTCTTGCAACTCGTTTCTCTCGTGGCAGTTACGTAAATGCTTCGTTTCTCTCTCCAAGTAACGTGGGATCTCACAATCTACACCCTTTGGAGACCTAACGTCCTGGCTGGCACACCTCAGTCTATGAATCACAAATACTTTGTTCGAGATCTTATAAAAACTAGTCATGTTGCAACATTCTATGCACGATTTAGGGACTTTGGAACGTGTGAGATAAAAAAAAAAAAAAAAAAGGAAATTATTGGTGATGAGGAATCAGTAGATGCACCCGGTTATCCCAACTATGTTGGCATAACCTTAGCATCCTCATCATCTCACTCATCCCAAAGTATTATTAATTAAACGATTTGGATTACATTCAATACCAATAGTTAGTAGATTCTCGAACTCTTTCATGACATCGAGATTCTCGTTAAAATTACACGTCTGCTTGACCGCATCGAGAGCTTCTCTTGAAGCTCGTCTTTGTTCCCTTACTGAGTATTCCTTTGGAGAAGCTTGTTTTTGTTCAATTGTAGAGAATGCCTTTCGAGCAGCTCGTTTTTGTTTAGTAGACCATACATTTGGAACGACAACATTTGGAGCAGCTCGTTTTTGTTCCGGTAATTTCTTTGGAACGGCAACCTTACGAGCAATCTTATGCTTGGACTGAAGTGCTTGTTGAGCTTTTGAAATAGTATTACTGAATTTATTCTTTAACATCTCTACTCGAGCCGTCTTTGTGGGCGATGATACTTGTGTTGTAGTCCTTAGTGGCGGAGTTTTGAATAGGGATGGTTTAGAATCCCCATTAGATTTGTTGGTTCGGACCGCGGTTGATGGTCTTAAGAAGGTTGTAACATTACTCGACATAACCATACGGTTTGAGGAATCGTCGGTATGGTATCTTCGCTTTGTCTGCATCATCCTCATCTTTTGAATAATCGCTTGAGAATGAATCTAAAAAGAACATGAGAATCATAAAAATCATCGTAACCTCACACAGTTAAGAAGTTTAAACGAAACGCATATAACTAAACTCAATGATAATTTCAATGAAATTTAAAAAATTTATCAAGATCGATTCAACCACCATCGATATGGACCCTATCGATGGGGATCGAGATGACAAGATGAGATGCGACGTTGCATTGAGAGACCTTGGCCCGAGTAGAGGCAAGGTCGAGCCAAATAACTTGGCCTAGTGTAGAGGCAAGTCGGATGTGTCGCAGACGATTGAACATGCAAGTGCAAGCGGCGTGTATGGTTGAACAAGTTTGGATTTCGCACTAGCAATGTTCGATTCGCGAAAACAAATCTTGCCTAAGGTCCGACGAAGCCACAAAGTCGAGGCGAAAAATATATATAGAACTTAATTCCCCTTAGCTAGTCGTGAGCGTGTCAAGATCACGACGCCGCACGGTAAACAATGTGTGTGTATATATATATATAAAAAACCTAACAAATCATTTCCTAATTTTATATTATTTTAATACAATTCTAATGTACGAACAATTTCACGCAATTAATTTTTTTTTTTTCTTCATAAAATATGTATATTTAAAGTTATTTCTTTTACAAAATAAATATAATACAACATCATTTTTATTAAAAACAAATGTCAATACATAGGGGAAAGTATCTCTATGCGTATGAATATACAATATGCATTATATCCCTCTAATTCCATTTTATCGTTTCTTTCGACACAACCCTCTAATCTCATCTCTATGTTACATTAAGTAACACATGCTCGTTGTGTATTTATATTAAAATCATTTTCATGCTCTTAGAGTTGTGTCCTATCTCTATCTATCGACATGATACAATATGGCACTCATCGTCGTATAACATGCTTAATATGGAAAACAACTATATATTAAGACAAACGTCATGCAATCATCATACTCATCATATCACCATAAAGTGCATATTACAACACGTATTATACGTACAAAAAAAAAATCAAAATAGTGATAGAAATATGTACGAAAAATCATGATCTATTTACGGAAAAAAAAATGATGATCTATTTACGAAAAATCATGAAAATGTAATTGAGACAATAAAATATAAAAAATCGATTCATTATAATATGTAATAGAAATATGTACGTAAATAATAGCAATCGATACCATTACAGTCAAAATTGAGATCAGACAGAATGCATTGAATAAGAAACTTAAAGATATCTGTAAGAAGTTTAGAAAACATACCAAGATCGATCTGGATACCGGTAAGAATTTTATCTGGAAATTGGAAGGTGATAGACGGTCGAGAATAGAAAATAAAATAATGGTATAATGTAATAAACTTATTTATTTATAAGGTAGAAATTTGATATTTTATTTTATTTATTTATTTATTTATTTTTAAAATGGTTGATTTTTTTTTTCTTTTGAGATATTTGGAAGGATTTTACTGTAATTTTTTTGGTTTTTGATATATTCTTTAAATATTATTTAAATAAATCAATATATAATTAATATCTTATATAATATTTTAATTAAATAACAAATACGCTAAACAAACTATCTAATTTTAGGCCTTTTTATTAAATTTTAAAATAAAATAGAGAGATACGAATAAAAAAGATAAAAACAAAATTAAAACAAATATAATTAGGTAAATTTTTATTTAGTTATTTAATTACAATAATTTTATTATATTAATTAATTTTAGATAATTAATTGTTTTATTTTTATTTTTATTTAGTTAAATTCTTAATATAATTTAATTAATTAAATTTTCATTTGTATACTCTTTTTGCTGACGTCATCTTTTCATTTTTAAATAAATGTTGAAAATAAATGTAAAAAAAAAGAGAATCGTACCGAACTCAAAGATACTCTTTTGAAGGTTAAAAAACTTACACCAAGATTGATCCAACGGCTGTAATACTTTTATCTCCAAAAAAAAAATTTAAGAAAATTTAATCTTGACCTAGGTAAGAACTAATAAAAATAAAAAATAAAAAATAAAAAAAAAACTAATTTATTTAATCTTTGTAAAAAAAAATGAAAAATAATAATATATCAAGGAACAATTTCGCGTACAAATATTTTCACAAGATATTTTCTCAAACAAAATAATTATGTGTCTTTAACTTTTTTTGAAATTGATCGAGGTTGGTATATGTTGACATTGTGTTGACATTGACCGAGGTTGGTATATTTGAAATTATACGATATTTTCCCAAACAAAATAACTTTCTTTGAAATAGATATGTTGACATTGCGTCTAAGCCCATGTGTCGGAGGTTGGTATATGCACACATAATCTAGTACGACATCACATAAATGTTATGTATGGATGACTTTTTCTTTTTTTTTCTTTACATCTTACATGTAAGAATTTATCCATCTTCCATAAAGGAGTCGAATGAAACCAAAGTTTCACGTTCGGTTTTGAATTAGAGACGTTCAAAATGATGAATCAACATCGACTATAACCCCTAGCCTTCCAAGCTAACGATGTGGGTTCGATTCCGACTATTCGTTTATCTTATTCTTATTATATATATTCTTATGTATATTATAAATATAATAAATTATTCATTAATTAATTAAAAATTAAAATGGAATTACTCAAATCAAAATTTTAACATTACTTCAAATATACTTAATGTAATACATCATTGAATTGAATACGCAATTTTTGAAATTGTCACACACATGAGTCGTTATCAATGAGCATGACCAAGCGAAGTGTGATGGCCGATGACATTGACATCCCAAGAATTAGGATGACATGTAAGATGACATCAAGACATGTGAGCCATGTTAATTGAAAACTAAAAATGATCACATGATAGAGATGCAATGCAACTTCGCATGTGAGAGATTTTAACCCTAAGTAGAGGCAAGGTCAAGCCTAATGATTTGGCCTAGAGAAAAAATAAGTCAAATTAGCTGCAGACACGAGAGACGGGTGTGGCCGAACAAGCTCAGATTCCATCAAGTTGTGTTTGGTTGACAAAGATGAACCTCGCCTAAGAGCTTTCCGTGCGAGACAAGCGCATAGAACAAACTTTTAAGTATTCATAGACAACACAAACAAACAAAGAAATTAATTGAATGAATAACCTCTCTAAACTTTGACACTAAAAGACCCTCAAAGGATCATATCATTATACGACGTTTCTTGAGAACTTGAACACCAAAACTGATCTATTTCGTATTCTTTCTATTGAAAAAATTGAGTGGGAGAAGGGGAAAAAAAATATATTGCTATTCACTGATGTTACAAAGCTGGAGATAAGGGTTGCCAGGCATCACATACTTAGACCAGTATGACTTGTACTTGGAAACAGCTAAATCTAACCAGGGCTTGTAGTTTCCATTGTAATGGATAACAGCAGCATTCTCTATTTCTGTGAGGTTCAGCGCAGGGTCGTATCCGAGACCTAGCACGTGCCATCCTCTGTCTAGCGGATACGTAAGATTGTAAAATGTGATCAGACCTGGTGGAAGCGACCCGAGCTTCCACAGAGTTCGGTCCTCGTTCTGCACGGGAGTTCCTTCGGTTAGTAATCTAAGTGTGTTTAATTAAAAGAAAGATGAGCTATATACTTGCAAGTTGTATGATAAATGTTCAAAACTACGAAATGACTATCAAAGCAAGGGGGCAAGTGTTACCATATCTTGCCAATAATGGTATATTCCAGTCATGTTTCGTTTTCTCCATTCCTTCAAGTCGAAAATATTCATGCCGAACGCCCAACCGCAAGCATTTGGATCAAAATTCTCAGAGATCTTTGGATTTGAGAAGTTGAGATATTTATCGAACCGATGAAAGCTTTCTTTACAGGTCTCGACTGCCCCATTCACCATACCTTTCAGATCGATGGACCACAACGGCGTTAAATCCTTTTGAACTACAATATCGTCGTCTAAAAATAGGATCTTGTCCAACTTTGGATACACTTCGGGAAGGTAGAATCGAAGATGATTCAGCATGGACAAATACTTGGGGTTCCTATACTTGAGATTATCCATACCAACAGAGAGGGAAGAAGGATGATTTGCCTTGAAGTAATACTCTTTAAGTCTTGCAGATTCAAGTTGTCGTAGAACAGAGCAATAAGAGGAATTCAACCACTTGAAATCATCGATATTTTGAACTTGGATCGTTGCTTTCGAAGGAGAATTAACAAGAAACCACATTCTCATAGCAGCAAAGTTCAGCTTATCTGTGACGATATGGAAGACGTGTTTCTCGGGTTCCTTTGCATGCAGAACAGTAGAGTTGACGACAACCGATGTTGCTAACACGTTGTCTGAGAAAATTGCATAGTGATACAGAGAAGGATTCTCGGTCTTTTCTCTGTCGATATTGTGATTAAGATGGTAACCCTTCAGGAAATAGTCTCCTGCAAGATGTAAAGGGAGACAGTGCAAGGATTTAGGGACTGTTTTGGCTGCTAGCTGAGTCAAGAATGCACTCTTTTTCTTCTGGGCATTCACATTATCCTCAGTTGACTGTAGCATGGTTCTCAACTTTCTCGACATAGTCAGACAATCATATAGTTCGTCTTTGGCCATCGCAAGAGCATGACCCATGGTTTTCGCTCGATCTAGTGCACTGCAGAAAGACGAAGAACAATGCATGAGTACCAAGAAAAGTCGGCAAGCGTTAACAAGAGGAGAGAAAGAAGCTTTCTAAAACCTTGGATGAAGCCCAGCATCAGAATTTGCTTCCCCAATGGCCAGTTGACTTTCTCTACAGTGTTTCAGTAGAGTATTGTAAAGTCTGGTATCATTCTTTGACTTAGCTATATTAGCATATGCTTTGGCCATTATGATCTGATCGCGCATAAGTTTCAAGGTGGAATCAGATTTCGGGTTTTCAAAATCTCTCCTCCAAATGCTGTACTTCCCCTTTACTGTAGTGTCAAAGCTTTTAGACCGTTCGATAGCAGCAGCTGCCATCTGATCGTCTACCTCTTTATCTTCTCTAATCAAATTCGCAGCTCGTAGAGCCCTCCTCTCCATTCGCATTGCCTGAAGTACTTACATATTGAAAATTAGTTCAAAATACCTATGTGCCAATGCCAAGTAGAAGGGTGAGAAATCTTACCCTCCGTTTTAGCTTCACTGGATTCATCGATGATAAACGAGAAAAATCAGCTTCATCTTCTGCAGGAGGTTGGCCATCTACAGAGCGTTCCACCTTCTCCTCATTCTCCATCCTGGAAACTAATGGGTCTGTCTGAAAGGAAAAAAATACATGAATTATGTTTTACATGTGCATATGCATATGCACCAGGAAAATATAATCAAACTACTACTCAAGTCCAGTGAGCCACAACGGAAAAGGAATAAACATCGACCATTGATGTTTTACCTAGAATGGATTATGGAAAGTTAGAACCTAACTAAAACAGCAATAAGTAAAATATAACATGCTTTAACAGTTGACCCCATGCACATTATACAAACAAAAAACGTCAAGAGGACTTGATCGGTTTCAAAAATATTCTCAGTACCTGGGAACTCAGTGGCTGGTGGTGGTTTCCATCCACAGAATTTTCCCATACCCAGGAGGCAGATAAATCCTTCAATTTGACCCTTCCAAGGCGAAAAGCCCCAGAAGGATCACTATAGGCTACAATTATGTCAATATCCTGTTGGAAGTGAATGTTACAAACATAAACATTGCAAGTCTTGAATGCAAATAATACTAAAATTTATGAACTTCATAACACATTAATACCTTATCATCTTCATTGGTGCTGATTCTATTTGCAATTCGTTGCTCCTGCAAGCATTTGAGTTGATCAATAAGTGCAAGGACTTCTGAATGCATAAAGCTTATAAATGAAATAAAATTACCATAGAAAGTACGGAAAGAATCCCACAATTAATTAAATGAATTTCTTTCCATCTTTGTAGTGCGAGGAAGAAACTAAACTCATAAATAAATCATAACTTCATCAAGAAGGCCTTTAGTGACATAAGTACTCACCCTTCCATTCGTGCAAAACAAATTGCTTTTTTTCTCTTTTAACCATCTCTCTAATTCAAGTATCTTAATAATTATAACCAACACAACTAGCAAAACAAGTTAGAATAAAAACACAGGTATGGAACCAAAAAAGTTCATAATTGCCTGAAATGACCAAAAGATAAGAAACCATTTGTATGCATGCATATTACCATATGTTATTACAGCCACAGGCATAACACCAGTCACCAGAGTTCAAGTAATGCCATATATTAAACAACGTTAATGATTCCACCAACTTAGAGGCTATATGATACGGTCTTGTGCCAAAAAAAAGTTCAGTACAAAAATTCATACACGCACACATATAAACATCCTTGTCCTCAAAGGTGATCGTCAAGAGTTTCATAATCTTTACACAAGCATTACTCAGTTTGATGTCTTTTAATTTGACAATGTTGTGCAATCAATCCACTACTAAAATATATTAAAATGGGAAAATATTAACAAATGGTAATAGGAGTTCACTTACCAACTAAATGACTAAATCTCGATTCAAATAAAAAATATATATGTTACCAACAAATTAAATGTACAATGTACCACAGAAAGATACAAGTGTAATACCTCTCCATTTCCACATTGGACACATTGATGCAAAGGCTTCTCATTCTGACTGCAGTATATAAAAGATCAAGCCTCGTCAATGTTCATTTATCAGACAGAAATCGTCTATCCAAGCATGATAATAATAAAATAAAGAATTCACAAGTAAACGAAGAATAAAGAAATATCTGGCATAGCAAATCTTTCAACAATTTTCTTACGCGAGAGAAGCATTGGATGCATCCGCTCCAATGGGACCAATGTGAAATACAACCTGCATCGAATTAGGCAGTTGAACTTAAGGCTTAAACTGCATCTATCTGGAAAATCAAAATTGATGTATCCGACAACTACGATCTAATCCTGGAAAGAATTCTAATAAATTCTGAAAATAAAGATGCAAGCAAAGGAAAGCTTGCGACACAACAGAAGCACAGCCTTAAGATCAGAGTTAACAGTCCGGTTCATTTCACTAAGGCGCAATCAAATCTCTAACAGATGCACAATTAAAAAAGAAAATTCCAAAAAGTATCAAAACAATCGGCATCAATCTACAGCAGACTTCTCGAAAGGCCGTAAGAAAGAGTAATTTCAAGACCTCATTAAGGTCCCGAAGGAATTCAGCTCACAATCGCAACAGTACCAAATGAGAAGGATCTTGAGGAACATATACAAATTCACTACCGCATCTCAAGTAGCAAAAAAGAAACAGAACAAAATTATCCAAAAATTACAGGCTATGCTCAAAAAAGGAATGGAAAGTTGTTACCAATAAGACGCAGAGGAGAAACAGAAGATTCAAGTTGAGAGAAATTCTTCTTCGAAGAACTTCCATGGCAGAAATTGGAGAGAGACGATCAGTGGCTTATCGCTTCAGAGTAGAAGGAAGGCAGTATCTTCAAGATTCATTTCGTCTTCATTCGCCAGCGCGGGACTGTGATGCCGAACTCCATGAAAGCGCGTTTCAAAGTCGGTAGATCAGGAAGCAAATATGGAAAATGGAATTTTCAGAAATTAGTTTCTTCAAGATCTTATATATATATATATATATTTCTATAATGTCTAATAGATTAATATTTAGTTTTGTTATTTCTAATATTTTTTTTAATTAAAATATTTCACTTCTTAACTAAATTTTAAAATTAAAAAATTAAAAAATTATGATCTTTTTTAATTTTCTTATTTTCTCGTTAAATTTATATGTTTTCTATAGTATATTTCATCTTTGTTAACAAAATAGTTAAAATTTTAAAATAAAAGCTAATTTTTAAATTTTTTTTAAGAATATATATATAATATATACAAAGTAATATTTATAGGTTTAATACGAAATTTATTTTAGTTTTCAAAACTTGGTTTGAGCGTTTAAATATACAATTACGACATTAATTTCGTAAAAAAGATTATAATTGAATTTAATCAAATTTCAAGGACTAAATAAGAATTAAATATATAATTTAACCGAAAGAAATTAGCAGTTAATTTGTGTATTGAGTTAAAACAAATGAAAATTTGATTTGATTTTTAGGTTTTTAATCGAAAAAAATGGGTTTGATTTCTCATTAATTCTTTACCGTCATTTTTTTTTTTGACTTTTTGACTTTTTAGTTATCGATCTAGATTTTGAAAACATTGTAAGATCTCATATCGGTGCCAAAGGCAGAGGGAAACGAAACATTTCTTGTAAGGGTGTGAAGTGGGAGAGGGAAATGAAACATTCTTTGTAAGGACACAGTTTAGGGTCGTGCCCGGTCCCAAACTGTTCGTTCGTTCTGCCTTTCGAGAATCAAATGGTGAGAGGTCATTCCATTCTAAGATTTATAAGAAACATATGAATGAAGAAATGAGAGTGGAACAAGAGAATCAGTACCAATGAAATCTATCTCAACCTGGGTGATGTTTGATTAGCATGGACTCCATATTGCTTCACGTGAAGTGGAGAGCTATGGTGAAGAGGCTGGCGGGGCGAACGGTTTCTAGGCTCATTCGGTCGGTCGTTCATAGCTTCGATCCGTTCCAGTGTCTCGACAACCTCGTTCATTGCTGGTCTGTTCTTCTGTTCTTGCTCAATACATTGGAGAGCAAGCTGAGCCACTTGGAATGCTGATCTCGATGGATACTTGCCTTCCAACCGAAAGTCCATCACGTTTTTCAGCTTCCTCCTCTCTGATAAGTATGGCTTTATCCAATCCACCAAGTTTTCGTGACCGGTTGGACGGTTTTCGTCGAGTGCACGTAAACCCGTTAACATCTCGATCAGTACAACTCCAAAACCATACACGTCACTCTTGACATACAAATGTCCTGTATTATAAACATCATCGTTATTCAGAATTTGAAAATACTCGATAACAGTCTCAAGTTCTCGAATTTTGGACGGTTTTATTCTACCTGTGGATATATACTCCGGGGCAGCATAACCATTAGTGCCCATAACTCGAGTCGACAAATGAGATTTACTTTCAGAAGGACCCAATTTTGCCAAACCAAAGTCTGATAGCTTTGGTGTATAAGACTATAAGGAGAGAAGATATCAACAAGGAAACGGCTATTATGAGAAAGGCTCTTTCTTAAAATGTATATTTACCTAAAAATTCATCATAAACAGAACATTACCCCATCAAGCAGAATATTAGAAGCCTTGAAATCTCTATAAATTACTTGCTTGTCCGATGTGTGCAAGAACGCCAGCCCTCGAGCGGCACCTATGGCGATCTTAAGCCGAGTATCCCACTCTAGTGGTGTAACTGCTGAGCCCCCTGCATTTTACAGAAAGGTTGATATCTCTGTTGGTGAGAACAAACAAAAGAACACTAGCAATTAAGTGGAAGAACATCATAGGATAAGATCATCAATTAGTTTCTTACTTCCAAACAGATGGTTTTCCAAACTTCCCTTTTGCATGAACTCATAAGTGAGGAGTAGCTCGTGATCCTCCCAACAGTAACCCAGCAGCTTCACCAGATTTGGGTGAGAAAGTCTTCCTAAGAAGCCCACTTCTGACTGCACAACCAACCAGACAGGTTATAATGTGTAATTTTTTCAAAACGTCTCGAGGAGGAAACTTCTTGAGTAGGAGGTTTGAACACAATACCTCCTACTCGAGAACCATGTTAGATCATCCCTCAACCCAAAAACTTAAGTTAATGGATTATGGAAAATTTAATATTGTGAGACTCCACGTCGGTTGGGGAGAAAAATGAAACATACTTTGTAAGGGTGTGGAAACTTCTCCCTAGTAAACGTGTTTTAAAAACTTTGAGGGGAAACCCAGAAGGAAAAGTCCAAAGAAGATAATATTTGTTAGCAGTGGGCTTGGGCTGTTACAAATGGTATCGAAGCAAGATACCGAGCAATGAGCCAACGAAGGGGGGTAGACACGAGGTGGTGTGCCAATAAGGACACTGAGCCCCGAAGGATGGTGGATCGGTCGGGGATCTTACAGGATTGGAGAAGAGAACGAGTGCCAGCGAGGACGTTAGACCCTAAAGGAGGGGTGGATTGTGAGATCTTACATCGGTTGGGGAGGAGAACGAATCATTCTTTATAAGAGTGTGGAAACCTCTCCCTAGCTAACACGTTTTAAAAACCTTGAGGGGAAGCCAAGAAGGGAAAGCCCAAAGAGGAAAGCCCAAAAGGGAAATCTCATATTTGCTATCAGTGGGCTCGGGCCGTTACAAATACTATATCAACACTCTAACAGAGATTAACAGTGACATGAATGATGGAAATCACATTTAGGTGTCGTTTGGAACGATGTAAACAAAATGCTATCAGTTTTTCTCTACACTCAAAATTTATCTAGATGGTTTTCTTTTTTAACTCATTCTCAGTTGAGTTGTACTGAAACAGTACTTAGAAGGTTCAAATGCACTCAAGCAATTCACTTGAGTTCGCATGATACTCTAACCCCGGCTATAATCAAACTACTGGCACAAAAGAGAAAGAAAGACGGGCTTCAGTCCCCACATCATCCAAGTGAACAATCACCAATTTCAGGTGATTCAGAGGTCACCCTTTGATTTATACTCATTGTCCACCCTACTAGTCCTCATAGACACTTTGCCCATCCTAAAGCCAGCTCTAAGAGACAACAAAAAGTTCAAGTTATTAAGTTCTTAAGCTAGGGCATAGAGTGAACAATCACCATGTAGTATTCATCTCTATAACAATATAATTACCTGCCACTCCTCAATTCCTTGCAAGCTATCAGATTTCAACTTTTTGACCGCAATAACCATCGAATTTCCCTTCTTTCCATGGCCCTTCTCCTCGAGCCAACCTTTGTAAACTTTGCCAAAACCTCCTTCACCAAGCATTGCCTCAGCTCTGAAGTTTTTGGTTGCAGCTTTGAGCTCTGCCAAACTGTACTCTCTCAAATTTGGAGAGGGCAAAATCTGGCCATTTGGAAAAGCTTCATCTCCACTTGCTACCGAGAAATTACTATTCTTCGAGATGTTGCTGACCGTTGATGATGTTGTCTGGGATACCACTGTTATAGCCACAGATTTGAATTATACAAGGGAAATTTTTCCAAGTCATAAACAAGATATCATTATCTGCATATATCTCTTAGTCTTAGAACCAAGTTAAATGGAAAAAACTGACCAAACACTCAAAAACTACGAAACTCTAAACAGATTAAACAAACAAATATCCATATGGGAAGACTGGAAAAGAGTTTGGAAGATATTTTGTAACAGCTCAAACCCACTACTAGCCGATATTATCCTCTTTGGACTTTCCCTTCCGGGCTTTTCCTCAAGATTTTAAAACGCGTCTGCTAGGGAGAGAGATTTCTAAACCCTTATAAAGAATGTTTCGTTCCCCTCTCCAACCAATATGGGATCTCACAATCCACCCCCCTTCGAGGCCCAGCGTCCTCGCTGACACATCGTTCGATGCCAAACTCTGATTCCATTTGTAACAACAACCCAAGCCTACCGCTAGCTGATATTGTCCTCGTTGGGCTTTCCCTCAAGGTTTTTAAAACACGTCTGCTAGGGAGAGGTCTCCCCACTTTTATAAATAATGTTTTATTCCCCTCTCCAACCAATATGGGATCTTACAATCCACCCCCTTACGAGGCCCAGCGTCCCTGCTGGCACATTGCTCAGTGCCTAGCTTTGATACCATTTTTAACAACCCAAGTCTACCGCTAGCTGATATTATCCTCTTTGGGCTTTCCCTTCCGGCTTCCCCTCAAGATTTTAGAACAAGTCTACTAGGGAGAGGTTTCCACACCCTTATAAAGAATGTTTCATTCTCCTCTCCAACCAATATGAGATCTCACGTATTTCCTCCTCAAAGATTGATAAACAATACACAAATAACTCCGAGGACTGATTAAATGAAACCCTATCAAAGAATTTGAAACTCAAGAGGGAAAAATTATTTGGGGAAAAACCTGCAGATAGTAAGCACAAAGCTGAAATTACCTGAACTGAGATGTCCAGTGGTATTAGGGGTATGATTACCAACAGGAGAACCCCAACAAATCCCCATTTCTCCCACTCTCTCTCTCAACCTCTAATTTTCTTCTTCCTGTTAGATCACAAAAGCGAAAGAAGAAGAAGATAATTAAAGAGAGCACTAATGAAATAAAATAAAAGCAATCCAGACGTCTCAGTCAACTAGTTCATACTCAATCCCACCTGTACGACCAATTAATTCAGAAATCTCTCAATCAAACTTCAAAAATATGATCCAACGAACACAGATTTAACGTAAAATCAATCAATAAACCAATCAAACACCGATGAATCCAAATGCAGTGGAAAATGAGGCGTTTAAATGAAGGATTGGACGATATTACCACAAAGACTGAGTCGCTGAAATTGAAAAGAGGTGGGGACTGAAGAAGATGACAACGGACTGAAAATCTGTCCGTTTGTTCAAAGTCAACTACCGTGAATCATATTGTTTGGTTTCAATCTACGTGAAAAAATTGAATTCAAAGATAACGAAAAGAAAGGAGAATTGATAAAAAAGAGATGTAAATTACTTGAAGAGTGGGGTCGAAGAATTATGGCGTCGCCATTTTCCGCCATTGGAGGCCCCGCCAACTAAAGCTCGCTTTAACTAGCAAAAGACGAAAGCCTGGTTTTGTTGACCCTAAACAAACGAAAAATTCAACCGTTTTTTATTTTTATTGATTATTTAAACTTTTTAAAAATATAGATTCTCAAAATTTTCAACCAAATTAAATTAAAAATTTTTATTTCTATTTTTTAATAAAAATAATCTATTTATTTTCAAACAATTAATAAAAATTTACCATATATATTTTTAAAAATTATAAATTTTATTTTTAAAAGTTTATTAGAGAATAAAAAATTTAAAAAAATCATTAAAATAATCACAAATTTATTTTTTTTACGTATTGATAATTTTTTATAAATAATTTGACGAGACTATTTATGAGTATTTTATCTAAATATAAAAATATTAATTTTTTTTTAAATTTAATATATTGGTTAAAGTATAATTTTTTTTTCTTGCTCGGGTTAATATTACAGTTTTAAACTTTCATTTTTGTATCTAATAAATTATTTAAATTTTTTTAATTTTTTAATATTTAATTTATAAAAATAGTGTGAATAAAGGGAATACGAGAAGGTCGAGATTCAAAATACAATTTGACTCTAATAATAAATTATATTATAATTGACTCACCTAACAAAGTTTTGGAAAAATAAATTAATTAAAGTTGATTACTTTCCAGTTGGAGTCAAAATAATTTTACTTTTTTAAGACACAAAATAAAATAAATTAAGTTGGGTCAGGGACAAATTCGTCATTTTACTTCAATAAATCGTGATTTTTTGAGGATTAATATAAGAACGAGAATATTTGAACCTTTTACCCTCTTAGTATATGTTAGTATTGAATTTCAATATGTAAGTCTGACGTATTCTAAAGTGAGTATCGAATAGAGACTCGTAAACTTGTAAGAGGAGCTTCCGAGCATTGGTGTGATGTTGTGTCCAACACACTCTGATGCTTAAGTCGGTGATTAGGTCAGAGTAGTCGAGAGCTGAGCACAATTATGTATTACAATTTTTTATTTTGGTGAGGGGTAGACTTGTGGTGTTTATTATACTTTCCCAAGGGTCGGGTACTTACCCCTTTGATTGGACGTGTGCCTAATGTGTGCGATCACTGGTCCTTGGTTTGGCTCGATGAGCTGATGACCGAGGTGTTCTCTTTATTTTGTTAGGAGTGAGTCAAATTCTTTCGAGCTTAAGGGATCAGATTGTTTCAATCTTATAAAGTCGAAGTATTTCTAACATAATTGTTTGATAATTTCGATTTATTGAGTTAGCCGTAAGTTAATTGAGGACGGTATATATATTTTAACTAATTGAGTTTGGTTTATATATTGTTAAGAATGAGAAATAGAAATAGAATTGAGATCGAAAAAGTATGACTAACTGTAATACCTAAAAATATCTATACAATAAATATATAACTAACTGTAAATAAATAAAATATACGGTTAATCAATTCCCTAAATATCTAGATATATTCTAACCAATTATTACTCCAAAATATCCTCTTAATATATATATAAAATTTGAAATATTTTTTTGGATGGGAGAGAAATGGTGAAGAGAGAGAAAGGTGTGAACACAGCTTTGATAAGAAGGCTGTGAAGCCTTTATCGTTTTCCCCAATTCAAAGTAAAAGAAAAATGGAATATATATATATAAAATATATATAGAATATATATATATAGATTATATTTTTTGTTTATGTCAAAGTTTTTAATTTACTATTAAATATTTCATTTTATTTTGGAGGGTGAGACACTTCCTCGTCTTGTTCTCGCTCCCCAAACCATTTTTTCCCGACCTAACGAAAAACTTTGTTATTTTGGTTCGGATCGAGGCAATAATTTTCTACGAGAAAAATCATAATAATTATATATATATAGATGTCATGGTCATGCTTGTCTAGAGCACGACAGATGTTCCAGTCTTGCTTGTTCGAGTCGGTTGACAGGGGATGTCACGGTCATATTTGCCTAAAGCATGATAGATGTCCCAATCTTGCTTGTCCAAGTCGGTTGATAGGGACGTCAACCAATCGAGTGGAGGAGGATGTCACGGTCATGCATGTCCAAGGTGTGTTGTCAATGGCCGCATGACAGATATCCCGATCTTGTTTGTCTAAGACGTGTTCCATGATTTTATATGCTTTCATCCTAGATACGTCTTTACCATTTCATATTGGGTTAGTACAAGGGTGTATTACTTTTGATATATCTTTGATCATCTAAAATCAACTTATCGTTTGATTTTATATTTTTTAAACCCGATTTTTTAGAGGGTTCAAAAAAACTTGATGACCTAATAATAAACCTGATAAACTCAATCAACCCAACTCAACCCGTACCGTTTGGGTTAGGTTATGAACTTTTTGGGTCGAGTTGGATTCAAATTTGTGTCAAGCGTTCACCAAAATCGGAGCTGAATTGAACCAATTTGGATTATTGTTAATTTAAAAATTAAAATTAAAATACATTTTTTCTTCCCCTATGAACCTAAGAAATTAGGATACATAAATCTGTACATGAACGAACCTCTCTTCTAATGTTTTTACAACACAAGTTGGTAGGTTTTGCCACTACTCCATGAGCAACACACCACCATTTCTATGGTTTAATCAAGAACTTGAAAAATGATCAACAATTAGTAATAATCCTCATAGCTGCAATACTAAATCAGGGTTACCACACTCCACCTTACTACAGCTAGGAGATCCTGGAGAATTAAATCTCGCGTTCACGTCCGGGGGAACTGATTCCGGTTTGTGGTGTATTGTTGTTGTTTTTTCTGCTGGTGATGGCCCTTGCGAATGAGCCTCGTTCCCCGACCCGGGCAATGAACTGGAAGAGTTTGTTGTACTGGGATCTGTTGCTGGATGGATGAAGTTAGCATTAGTCCTGGAGGTCGTTGTCTCGAGCGTTCGAGATGACTGAGGTTGTTCATCAGCAGGCTCGGATGCTCCTGTTAGTTTCCCCCTGTGAGCAGAGAGATCAAAGGCATAAGTACCATTGAATCCATTCATACCAGGGCGGATGGTTGGAGTCGCGCGTTGTTTCTGAAATGAAGGCCTTGAGGTTGGAATACTACGTTCCAATACATTATAATCACTACTGGGATTCAATCCTTCAACTCCTTCAGCCTGTCCCCTGCACGGCTCAGAAGATCGTTGAGTACTCGACGGTGATGATGAAGTTGCAGCAAACTCAGTGGGAGGCCTACTTAAATGGCCATCTGAACTGGGGGCATGAGAAGGCTCGTAGTCGTGTGTCTTAGATGAAGTATCAGCTTCGGAGTTGTCGGATGATCGAACGCCCTTTTGTTCAGGAGCAAGAGGCTTTACATCTGCACCATAGGGATGTAATGTTGACATTTGACAGAGTTCAGCTTGAGGTAGAAACACTCTCTTTGGTGTGGTATCATTTTCTACAACCCATCCAGGACCAAAACCTGAACCTGCTGGTAAAGATCTTTCGATCTTCTTTGAAGCAACTCTCCAAGCTACAGATCCGAGATCTGCAGCGAATCGGGCAAGGCTTCGTGCATAAGCATGCTCCAAGAAAAGTCCGACCTGATTCACATAAAGCACAAGTTATCCCACCGAAAAGTCCATATAAGTTCGTCGTATAATTCAAGTCACCAAAACCAAATGGCAGCATGTTGTAGACAATATTAACTAGACGAGGACAGTAAATATTCAAGTCAACACAATTGACATATCAGAAACTGAAAATAACAGTCCAATTCCTCTTATCCTCAACTATATGCTTTTTATATTTTCTTTGACAACAAGAAGCTATATCAGACGCCCCAGCTCCAAAACTTCGGGTTATAATTGAAATTGTGTATAAGGGTGTGGAAACCTCTCCCTAGCAGACACATTTTAAAAACCTTGAGAGAAAACCCGAAAGGGAAAGCCCAAAGAGGACAATATTTGCTAGCGGTAACTTGAACCGTTACAAATGGTATAAGAGTCAGACACCGTACGATGTGTCAGTAAGGAGGCTAAGCCTCGAAGAGGGTGGACACAAAGCGATGTGCCAGCAAGGACGCTAGGCCCCCTAGTGGGGTGGATTGGGGGGTCCCACATCGATTAGAGAAGAGAACAAGTATTAGCGAGGACGCTGGGCCCCGAAGAAGGATGGATTATGAGATCCCACATCGGTAGGGGAGGAGAACAAAGCATTCTTTATAAGGGTGTGTGGAAACCTCTCCCAAGCAGACGCGTTTTAAAAACCTTGAGGGGAAGCCGGACAAGGAAAGCTCAAAGTGAACAATATCTGCTAGCGGTGGGGTTGGTCAACCTTAATGGACACTCCAAGCATGGCACTCAAAAGAAAATGTTTACAGTAAATAAGTCGGATACATACTGGCATTAAAAGCTTCCTCTCTCTATCAAATGTATTCAACACAGAGGGTTCTAGCAAAGCAGCTGCCGCTTGAAATTGCTTATATGTGTTACGCCTATTCTCATCAGAGACAATTGGTCTTTTCCCCTGTCTCACTGAATTAATTCTCAGTCCAGAACCTGCCAGGAAAGAACAATCATAGAACCAAAACTTAGGTTGCATCTTATACCAAAGTAAAAAAGCTTGCCTAAGATTTCATACCTGTAATATCCTCGCTTCTATCAATTCTGCTCTGGTTAAACAAGTTAAATGCAGCAGCATCACTATTGGAAGAAAAGGAGAATCTGCCAGAAAAATCAGCTAAACTAGTTTTTTCGAAATGATGAAATCCTTTCCTCAAATCGTTCGACCGATTCGTGTTTTCACCACCAGTAGCAAGAGTGGCATCCGGGGAAAACTCGGAACCAGCACGTTCCAAGGAAGGTCGACCCAATGGTTTTTTCAAATGCTTGGTCGGTGGTCTACCTCTTCTTGCTACTTTAGGCTCTGGTTCATTCTCATCACTATCTTGTCTCAGGTTCTTAAAATTCTTTTTTGCTAACTCTTGTATGGTACGTGCCTGACAAAAATACAATTAAATTTCATTGTGTATGCAAGTAGAAACAGCAAAGAACAATAAGGAAGTTCAGTGCAA